GTTGTGGACATACCGTAAACACACGTACATGTTATTGCTAGCTAGGCCAATATACTGTGAAACTTTTCCAGAATGTATCATATCACACATACTGTGCATCATATCGTACATACTTAAGCTGTCTTTCGTCAGCTCCCAGTCACATAACGCTAATGCTAACCCCTCCACCACACACCCCATCTGCCTCTACAAGCTTTTTTTTTTTTTTTTTTTTCATGAAGATACATTTTAAACAGGTAGCCAGTGCTCGCTTTCTCTTGTACATAAACGCACACTTTTAAAGGCACACTCAGCAGAAAACATGCACTTAAGAAAAGCAGGTCAGCCTCAGTCTGGTGTGCTTTGATTGGTATTTGAGGGTTAAAAAATGTGTGTGTGGGTGGGGGTGGGGGGTGGGGGGGATCCTCTGGGTCATTGTATTGTCAGAGTGAAGTGTTTATTTTGTGTTTCATTCAGAAATGTGAAGGTTGCTGCACAAGGGCATTATTATTTTAGAGAGGAAAAGACACCACTTGGTAGGTGAAAGGGTAGAAGCAATGAAATATCTAATGTCTTATATCAAGTTAATGTACCTATATGAGATATTGTTTGGTTTGTGATGTGACACCGTGGTTGCCTTTTCTTTTTTATTGTATGACACTTTTATATAGGAAAAAAAACAGAGAAATACGCTCTTTGATTTTTTGTTTATCCTGGGCAGATTAGTTTTATTTTAATGCTTCTATAAGATATACAATTTGACATAAAGACACATTTAAATCAACCGTTTCTTGATCAAAGGTCATGAGAAATTAACCAACTTTTACTCTTTTTTTTTTTTTTTTTTTTTGTAAACCAACACAAATTCAGAGCATACTTTTCTGTTTTTATAGCTTCTGGAGAACAAAAAGGTTTTGTTTATAGCGTCTTTGTACATGCCTACAATGTGCACTTTATACATAAAACATTCCCAAAGCCAGACATTTAAATCACAAGAGATTTAGTCACAGATCTGCTGGTCAGTTTGATCCCCACCCCCCTGAAAAAAAAGAAACCTAACACGGGTTTTGGTTTGTAGTTTAGTAACGATTCAATGCCAGGAAAGAGATCTTTTATTCACATGTAAACACACCCACATGCACACAAACACGATTTCAAACACAAGCTCAAACACCGAATGTAGCAGCTCAACTGATCTGCATTTAGCCCTGGATAATCTTTACGGTTTGCTTGTAAATGTTTTTGTATCTCTGAAACATAAGTGGTAATATATATATATATATATTTTATAATTGATTTTTAGATTGAAAGGGCAATTAAAGGTTATTATTAAGCATGATTTTGATACTCTTATAATAAAGGATATTATACATTTCTATAATGTTTTTTTTAATCTAATGTTGGCAATTCAAAGGGAACATGTTAAACTGTGAACATATATCTGTACAGGTCTGTCAGCAATTTTGCATTTATTTGAAAACAGAATATTCATACCACTTAATAAACTTATTGATAATATTTGCAGAATGGAGTCCTGTGTCTTCAATTGTGTGTGTGTGTGTGTGTGTGTGTGTGTGTGTGTGTGCGTGTGTGTGTAAATCAATCTTTATCATAAATGTTATCTCAGTATTGTTGAGCAGCACAGAGACTAAGTAGGCCTGAACCTGTGACTCGTTTGTATCCAAAATCCAAAGTCCAGATATGTTAGTAGATTTTTTTTTTTTTTTGTAAAGTGAAAAAATAATTCTGAACAAAAAAGTTCTAGAAGACGATGATAATTAAGCTGATTCCGATAAGGGTGACGATGACGGTAAACACAGAAAATATTCAAACCCACTCACCCTCTTAGAAAAACAAGGTAAACCACGACCGCTTCAAAGTAGCGGAAATTATATCAAACCCATGTAAGGAGCAAAATACAACAAATAATCAACAGAGGTAGAAAAATACACATTATGGCTCCTACACTCAGGACACTTAACAAAAGAGCAGGACTAGACTGGACTCTTTGTTATATTATTTACATTCAACATTAATCCAAGATGAACAGCCTTCTGCAGTGACTGTGTTGGGGTTGAGAGGAGACAGAGCGCGTGACCCTACTTTCACAAAACTCTGGCGACCCCAGACATCCAAAACACATTCAGCTTTTTGCTCAAATAAATTAGTTTTCAGTCATGTAATAGTTTTTCTACTGTGTTGCAAGTAAACATTAACTTTAGACCACATTCAGGCCTCTTCCTGTTTATTATTGTGGACAGAGGAAGAAAGACTGGGATGACATTTCTGCACATTGGGTGACACACAGAGACCTTGCAAGTCTTGTTTTAGCGTTTGGCTGTGGCGCAAAGTAGCCTGTGTCCATTATATTTTAATATTGTTTTTATTGATCAATAAATAAAATATTCAGACGACCCCATTTGAATTCCATGCGACCCCACATGGGGTCAGGATCCCAAGGCTGGGAAGCCTGGGATTGAGAGATAAGCAGAAAGAGAGAGATGGAATAACAATGAATGAGGCAGAATTATAGCTACAATGCCAGTATACGGTACAAGTATTTTGCAGTACCTGCTTTTTAAACATTGCTGTACATATATTATTTTTTTATATTCAGGTCTAATTACAGATTTTTTCCTCAACTGTTTATAGGTTCTTGTTTAAATTGCACATATATTTTTATCCCTGCACGGGTTTGTCTATTTTTAATTGCACATTTTAAATTTGATTCATCTAGAGGTATTCTTTAAATCTTGTTTTCGGGTTAATATATATGTATGGGAGGGGGGGAGGCGTCGGTTTTGTGGTTTAATTTAATGTTTCATGTCATGTACGTCTTTGTAACCTGCTACTGGATGCTTTGAATTTCCCTCGGGATCAATAAAATATCTATCTATCTGTCTATGTGTAATATTAGCTGTAACTTTACTAAGAATGATAATCGACTGCTATAATATGAACTATGATGCCAATGATGAAATGGGGAGAACTGATGTAAACATAACCCGTTTGTGTACTCCATATAAAGCATTATAAAACAGTATGTGCTCATCATAACACAAGTATTCAGACTACTCAACATCCTCTCATTTTATAATCAACAAAAAAAATTGGGCTCGTCCGGGATTTGAACCCGGGACCTCTCGCACCCTAAGCGAGAATCATACCCCTAGACCAACGAGCCAAGCTGCTTGACAACAAATAATGAAACCTTCAAATATTTACACATGTATTTTATTGTCTTTTTCTCGTTGTTTCCATGATAGTCTTCATAGCATTGCAGCTGATTTTTAACCTTTTCGAGTCGCAAATAAACGGAGCGACGTCCTTTGAACTGCATGAAGCACATAAACACAAGTGTCGAGGCGAGGTGAGAGGATTCACTGCTGCCCACTTCCGGGTTCGTTTAAACCCTCTCAGAGTCTTCAGTTGAACGTGTTGTCGCTCACCTTTTGATTGATACATGCTTTGTTACTTTATTCACAAGTTTTTATTGAATGTTAAATCTTGATTGCCTTATTTAAGAGCCCACATAGTTGTAGCCTAACAAGTAATTATTTTGTACATATTGCACACACAGATTAAATTATCTAATAGTGATAATATATAATATGCTATGTCAATAAATTCGCGAAACGTCACTGTAAAAGCAGCATTGGGGTCATAGTTGACTGTATTTTTCGGATAAATTACACTGAATTTTGTGGCAGCAAACAAATAGACAAGCAGGAGCTAATCTTAAATAATTGTAATAATTACAGATATAGTCATTTATAACCCAGCTGCAAACTTACGGTGATAATGAAGCTCATTCAGATAGTTGTCTTCTCCATTGTTTTCAGAATCTTGTTGATGGTAGAAACACAATGTGACAGGTTACAGCCTCCTCATAGCTGAATCCTTGTCACTGACATAATCTACCCTCTTCCTCGTTTCTTAGCAATAAAAAAAATATTCTGTATTGTGCGGATTACCTTTAGGGCTTTTGATCAGACACATGAGTAGTTAAGACTTGTAACTCCTAGACAGGAAAGTCAAGAAAAGCGTGTTCGCTGTTGCACAAACAAATCAGAATGCACGATAAGCAGGGTTTAAGGTAAAAGGCCTATTTCTAAGTAACATTGCATGGAAGAAAACAAAGGTCAGGTTTACATTTTTTAATTACTAAAAAACTAATAAGTCTAGAGACAAAAACATTATAAATCTGTGATAAAGACCAAAGCATCCTGTAATTACTTCATTGGTGTATCAAAGGTATGGAGTGATGTCTAAACATCTGCAGTTAAGCTGTATGGTAAGAATTAAGAACAAAAAAGTAAGAACATTTAATCAATTATCAGACTGTTTGAACTTACTTGAAGGCTGAAATCAGCTGGGATCAAATGAACAGAAGGCAATTCCTAAAGTTAAAGATTGTCATCCTCAGAAGTGAGAAACAAGTCTTTTTCTTCACGTATCAAACGTTGGATATAAAATGAATCCTGAGTGTGTCAGCTGGATGAAATTAAAGAATATGATACATTTAACTTAAACCTTTTTACTCAAATGTACTAAAACATAAAAGATGAAAAGACAGTATAGCTAAAGTAAGATCAATAAAATAAAAATGTTTTAAACTAGACAATCAGTAGCCCTTATACATAAGGTCTTAAAACAATAGGCTGTGATGGCCTGCAGCTAAATTTTTTTTTTTTTTTTTTAAATTTAAATGATGTGTTTTGTTAAATAATGTCTTGTGAAAGAGGGTCAGATTATAGGCTATAAAATACTTAATTTTGCTCCTTTTTATCCTAAGATTTGAGATTTTATGTTTATATTGAATTGTATTGTTTGGTCTATGAATGAAGTTAACTTACAAACACATAAACCAATACTTTTTTTTTTTTTTTTTGCATTTTCATTGTGAGTAACTATTAATTTCGTTACTTCTTTGTCGTGGAAAAGAGAGGAAATTTACTGCACAGACAGGTTAAAAATAAAAAACAGTCGTCGCTGCTGCAGTGACTTCTCTTGCCTGTTGTCACTCTTTGGTTCAGTCACCTACCGGCCTGCCGACGTGGCGGGGCGGAAGAGGAGCTGCTGGCTGGCACCAAACGGGTGAGCTGCGCTGTCACTTACACAAAAACAAACCTCTCTTTTAGCTTTTTTAAACTTTCTTCTTTACTGAAAACAACTGGGACAGACACAGTTCTGCAGCGAGAACTTGTACAAGACTTTACAGAAACGGCTGCAGTGTTGAAAATGAGTTTGTATGACTCGTTTTGGGGAGATGACAATCCTGCTTGAATAATAGTTTAATTGTCATATCGGCTCTCCAATACAACAGAGGTGTTATTGACTGTTTTCTTTTCAACATGTTCTGCATGTTGTCACAGTGTAATGTTGTCTAATAATGTAAAAAAAAATAATGACTGAAGGGGTTTTGGCCTACGAGGAGAATATGACTCATATGACTGTGTGTGATTGTTTTAATGTTAAATAGTTTGCATGAGTTACAAGCTTCTATTTTAAAATTCATGGATTAAGTGTTAAAATTAAACTCTAACAACCCCCGGATTAAAAACAGGAAAATAGTGACATTACACTGACTGTGCTTTATTATCTTTTTATTTTTTTATTCTGGACAAATGTGTCACTGATGGTAGCCTGCAGGATTATTTACTCATTTCTAAAGCACACATTTTGTCAGAGATCATAACGCTTTGCTGACTGACGTTTTGTTGTCAGGAAACAGCCTTAAACAAACTTAATAATGGAAAACCTTAGAATGACAGATATGATGTGGATGCATGTGCAGCAACTAACCACTAGGTGGCGACATTTAACGAGCCATTTAATGAGAACAGAACAGACGACGTGAGGCTAAAATTGGCCTCAATATTTGCATGTCATGCAAACAACAAACTCATTTGGGTAACACAGTTATAAATGCGTCACTATTGCTCCTTTAATGAAGATGAGTGATGTCCTCTGAAACAGTAGGGAAATGAATTATAAGTAAATATGCACTACTTTCAGAAAACCTTTTGTTGTTTTACAAAGTTTTACAAAAGTGTATGTAATGTACTTTAAAGTCAGATTTAAAGCAGTACATCTTGTTTCTTTAACCTTTATTTATCCAGGTAATACCAGTGTGATTAGAGATCTCAGCAGAATAGCAGCAACACAAACACTTAAACACAAACAGTGCAGATTTCATCATAAAATCATCAGCTTATACAGAAAGTTTGGATTCAAGACTCTTCACTTAGGATTTAAAAACATTCAGGGTAACTAAGTTTTATAATCAGATTGCAGATTTTTCAGAGCAAAAGTTGCAGAAAACTTCTAACTTTGGGAGCAACAGATTGCACAAAGTCAAATGATCATATTTGTAGCTGAGTGAATTAAATCATATTTTCTGCCACAGTATTTAGAGACCTCATATATGTAGAGTCACTACAACATTAAGCATAACATATTACAACCTAATCCAAAGTACATTTTATAAAAGCAAATAAAGAAGTTTGGAATACAAATAAAGGAAAATCCTGCACGGTAAGGTGCTGTTAACACACTGTAAAGGGAGATTTATGCAGAAATGTTGAATAATTCAGTGATCTGCACGTCTTTAACATTTTAACTTTGTGCTGTGATCAGGTGTCAGAGCACGCTAATGACTATTGTTTTTACATTTTTTAGAAATGAAGGTAATGAGTGTTTTGAAGTACAGAATGAATGCTTATGAATAGTTGATTCACTAGTTTGTTCAACGACATAATCATTAATATTTTCCTTTTAAAATGAATTAAGTCAATATTCAAGAGCGATAATCTCAAACATTCAAATGTATTTATTCATCTAAAATAGAGACTGTGCACATTAATGAACTTAAACATGTAAATAAACCAGATTGTAACCATATAGGCTGATTTCCATTTCTAGTCCCTTGGCAGGTCGGTGGTACATGTATATAAATTTACATAAAACCACAATGACAAACAAAAAACAAACAACAACATATGTGTACATTAGTTGACTGAGACATAAATTCTCTGGTTTTAATGTGAGGACGTCCCATTAGACACAGGGAACTTGTTCTGGGCATTTCTAATCTTCACTGGAACTTCATGGAGGGAGATATGAAGAAAATAGTCCCAGCTTTCATTTTTCGTTTTTTAAATGTTTGGTTATCATCAGACGTGGCAGCAACACAGATTGAACTCAAATCAAAGGTCTCTCCTCTTCCAGATCAACATGTCCCAGGCCGCCTGCCCCGACACAGACCTCTTGGTTGACATCACACCTCCACCTGTCCAGCCCCCTCCCCCTGACCCCGACTCCACTCAGGATGTCCCAGCATCCCTCACTCCTCCGCCCTCGGCCCCTCTGCAGTCTGCTCTGACCCCTGAGAGTGTCGTCCCTCCACAGCCCGTCGAGGACACGACCACAGAGGACACTGAGACTAACACCTCTCAGGGTCAAACTGACCAACCAGAGGCTGCGGCTGAGGGTCAGGTGATTGTGTGTGACCAACCAGTGAGCCTGGAGGCTGACGCAGAGGCAGCAGAGGAAAATGAAGAGGTTTGTGGCAACCTAGATATGATGATAGTAAAACAGAAGTCCTAGGCTCGACGAAAGTGATGAAAACATTTCCATCACAGAAAGTTTTCTCATTTCATCCAGAGACTCTCCTCCTGCTCCCGGCTGCTCTCGTCTCACTGCATGTAAATGGCTTCAGTGTTGAATGCCTATTTCTCTGTCTAGCCAATCGGATAGTGTTATGGAAAGGACATCAGCGTTCAGAAAATAAAATGTTGATACAGATAATTGTATTATTGTTGTATTATTGGATACTTCTGCAACTAGTAGTCCTTAAAATGCAATTAAAACTTGATGTTTTGAACCTGACCTGTGATGTGAATGTGTTTTGTGTTTTGTGTGTGCAGAGGTCTCTTCAGGAGAAAGAGAAAGTTTGGGGAGGTTGGGGTTCATGGGGGAAATCTCTCCTGAGCAGTGCCACCTCCTCAGTGGGTGAGTCCTCTGATGATATTTTCTATTCACCACCTAACATTTAATAATCGTTTGATCTACCTCTGTTCCTCCTGATGTCTTTGGTCTCTTTACCTTTGTGTGTGTGTGTATGTGTGTGTGTGTAGGGCAGAGCTTGACCTCAGTGAAGGTGAAGGCAGGGGAGGCTCTGCGTCTCAACAGGACTTCAGTAGGAGAGGAGGCGCGAGAGGAGGAGGAGGAGGGGGGGGAGGAGGGAGCAGAGGGGAAGAGAGAGGAAGGAGGAGGAGGAGAGAGAGGAGGAGACACTGACCCGTCCAGCTCTGCAGAATCCTCTGGCAGCGCTGCAGCTCCAGGCAGGGGCGTCTTCTCTTCTATCACACACGCGGTGCAGAACACAGTGAGTCAACACACACACACACACACACACACACACACACACACACACACACACACACACACACACACACACACACACACACACACACACACACACACACACACACACACACACACACACACAAACTGTCTGATAATAATACAATATTATGTCTACTGTCTTGTTGTTGTGCCTCCCCTATTGTCATTTTTTTTATTAGTCAATTTATTGAACATGTTAAGAAAATACAACACAAAATAAAAAGGAAAAAAACCAAACTGGATCCATAGCAACAAATAAATAACTCAAATAATATAGAACAGGTTCAAAAGGGATAGGACGAAGTTAAAAACTTTTCTGGTCGTACCCCTTCTTATTTTTGTGCATTATTCACAGAAAAATAAAAATGTTTTCATCAATCAGTGTGTGATGTTGGACTTGTTGGCCAAAACAAATGAAGTTTTTAGACAAAACAACAAGACCATTAGCCAAGAAATAACCAAATAGAAAAACAGAAAGTCGCTGCTCCAGCTCATATCTATTCAATATTTGATTCCTGAAGAGTTTTTTTTAGTTTAAATATAGTGTTGCATTTTTCAGCTCGTCATCACAGTTATTCCACGGACTAACACCCTTAGTTGTTACGCAGTGAAGTTTTGCTTTAGTTCTGATTGGTGGTTTCTTGAATATCCAGGTTCCTCTCAACTTATGTTTGCTTTCTCTCGATTGGATACCATGAGGCAATTGCTGATACTTTGCTTTGTCCATAATTTGAATAGTTTTATCGTCAATCAAATCTTGAAATTTTAGCGTTCTTAGTTGATTAAAAAATGGATTTGTTGGCTCTCTGTAAGTGGTTTTATTTTCATGCTTGGTAGTATTTTTTTATTAACTTTCAAATAGTTCCCTGTTTTGTTCCTGATCTCTCTGGTGATGTGCTGACTCTCCTCTCTCAGGGTAAGTCTGTGATCAGCGGAGGGTTGGATGCCTTGGAGTTCATTGGAAAGAAGACAATGACCGTTCTTGCCGAGAGTGACCCGGGTTTCAAAAAGACCAAGACCCTGATGCAGAAGACTGTGTCGCTGAGCCAGGCAGGCAGACACACAAACACTCAGATAAATCATTTAAAACTAGAGTATTATAAATGCATACATACCTACATTATTGTTCCTCAGTGATAACACACGCTCTGTCACCTCTCTACATGTGAACGCTGCAGCTGTGTCATTCAGTGGGGTTTCTTTTGTGATTTTTCTTTAGATGTTGAAGGAAGCAAAAGAGAAGGAGCGTGCACGTCTGGGTAACCAGCCAATAAGTGAGCACACAGCTCACTACGGTATTCTGTTTGACGACTACCAGGGCCTGTCCCACCTCGAGGCTCTGGAGATCCTGTCCAATGAGAGCGAGGGAAAGGTAGGCAACAGAAGATCGGCGATCAAATCTGAGTGAGTTTTTAAAATGAGATTAGAGTCACTGAAGTGTTCCGCTCTCTCAGGTCCAGGCCTTCCTCTCCTCCCTGACTGAAGAAGAACAGGACGAGGCGAAGAAGGAGCTGATTTTTATCAAGGACATCTTCATAAAGCGAGAGGAGCAAGAGGAGAAAGAAGGAGAAGACGAAGGACAGACGAAGGATAACGGTGATCTAAGTTCACAATTACACTGTTCTACCCCTCTATGTGAGTGAGAGGAACGACCTGGAGGTAGAGGAGGTCCCTGAGCACCGACACACGACCAGTTTTTTTTTCTAACTTTCATACAGATGTTAATCCTGATACTGCATCAGATGATCGCAAACAGAGGTTACATTTCACTTTGGTTGAAACTCAAGTTTAAAATTTACAAGTAATGGGACCAGAAAAAAGGGACTTTCTTCAATTCTTGATCAAGTGGAATATGAATCAAGTTAGGCAACAAAACCAACTAAACTATGAAGTTTTCAAATTAGTTTGAACTCAGTGTTACAAAAGCAACCGATGTCAGTGTTTCCCACAAGTAGACAAAACCCAGGCGGGCCACCCGGGTGTATTATGACTGTGCAAGAATAAGTCCGACCATTTTTAATTTATTCAAAACATAAATTGCAGGAGAGCGGGAGAGAGTCAGAGACCCTACATCCCTCCTGTAAAGACACCAATTAAGGTGCAGTGCTCATGTTAAAACTGAAGCTTTCCTTGTTTCAACATTTTGATCCTCACACCACCCTACAGAGCGGGGACATGATGCTAACTGCTCTTAATCTGCAACATCATTATTAAAAACAGCATTTTATTTGTAGAGTATAGTGTAGAGAACCTGTTAGCGGTGTTTAGCTCCAGACCTGATGTTGTCGTCTCTCCTGACAAAGTAAAAATGTTCTACCGAAGCAGATTCAGAGTGGAGGCAGTGGAGCAGTGAAGGCTAGTTTTGGTTTGAATCATATCTCGCCTAGTCGTTCTATGTCATTCAAACTCATATAGGTATGTAGCCTATGTGAGGCTACAGAGACACCAGCAGTGAAGAGCTCACACCACACGGATGTCTCTTTTGGGATTTTGAACACGGTGTCTGGTCCAGTGTTGGTGTTCAGGGGCCGCCGACACGTTTACATGACATCACAGATTCAGAGCAAAAGCAACAAAAACAATCTGCCAGATCAAGATGATAAATTTTGCTTTCTTGCTGCAAACATGAAGCTCTAACCATAAATGATGTGCTCGAGTTAACAATTAATTCGGCATGAAAATAAAATTGAGAAGTGCAGCAAATCTCTGCTGCGCTGCTTGCTGAAGGCGAACGAGAATGTTATAATTAAGATCTCAGCATGGGGCGAAACAGTGCATGCTGATCAAATCTGCTTCCTCTGACAGTGTGTGCATGTTTGGCTTATACAGAAGCAGTCTAAACATAGGTGAGCTGACATGATGTGTGTGTGTTTGTGTGTGTGTGTGTTTGTGTGTGTCTGTCCATCTGTGACTCTCGTAGCAGCGGACGGCGAGGAGTTTGTGAGCATTCTCACTGAGCTGCTGTTTGAGCTTCATGTTGCTGCAACTCCAGACAAACTCAACAAGGTGAGTCACACACACCTTACCTTATTTCACCATTTTAAACTACATGTTACTACAACCCAGAAAATCAGTTGAGGAATTCAGGAAATAATCAGCAGAGTGGCCATCAAGAAAACAACCAAACGTTTCAGTTATACATTTAATTTTTAGAAATATGCATATTTTAAAGGTCACATATTCTCCTCCTTTTTGACACGATTAAATAAGTCTCAGAGCGCCCCCCAACATGTCTGTGAAGGTTCTAAATCCACTCTGATCCTGTATTTGATCACGCCTATAAACCCCTCTATTTCAGCCCTGCTCAGAACAGGCTGTTTCTGTGTCTGTACCTTTAAATATGTAAATGAGCTGTGTCTGACCACGCCCCCTCTCTGGAAGGGCTCCAGTTTTCTTGCTCCTTGTCCTATTGTTTACGGTGAGAAGGCAGACTCAGAGGGCTATGGGAGTGTCACCCACCTGGGGGAGGGGTTACTGCCCTTTGTGATGTCATGAAGGGAAAACCTCCAAACAGCCTATTTGAGCACACATTTTCTGAAAAGTGGAGCAGGCAAGAGATGGAGAGGATGGACTTTTCTCATAATTGGGGGGTTTGTAGACAGACTAGGGACACATTAGTGTTCTAAAAATATTGTAAAGTGTATTTTGTAGAATATGTGACCTTTAACTTTAAACCCCTCCAAACAGATCCCGTAATAAATCCTACAAAATGTCTGCACATTGGAGACTTTTTGAGAGTTTTCTCTCTCATATTAGATTCACGCTATTCTTTCATGCAGCTGCTCCCTCCTGCTGCTGTCTCAAAGTAATATATAAGTTACCATCTTTGAAGTCCTTCTGAATATTGAAATTCACATATAGAAACCTTCATTAGCATATAATCGTGTGCATGCATCTGATTAGCATACATCAGGATGGCGATCTCTCAGCGAGCAGAGCTGATGGGTGGTAATTATGCATCTCCAGGCTCGCAGGAGGGCCCATGATTGGGTGAGCGAGGTGGAACAGGCTGTCACTACGGAGACAGTTGGCAGGGAAACGCAGGACCTGCAGGGAGGAGAGGCCTCACCTGAAGAGACTGAAAACGAGGAGAAGAAGAAGCAAGAAGGAGAAGAGCAAAAGGAGGAGAGCGGCGGGGGGGAGGAGATGAACGGAGAAGACGAGGCAAGGAAGGAGAAAGAGGAGGACCCGAGATCTGTGGAGGTGAGGTCATCTCAACATCACCAAAGTTTTTAAATGAAACCTCCCTATCCTTCTGTTGTTCCACTTTGCTTTCATATAGTTTATTTATTTATTATATTATGTGTGTGTGTGTGTGTGTGTCCCTCTCTGCAGGCTGTCTACCTGTCATCAGTGAGCAGTTTGGCAGAAGTGACAGCTCGCAGTATCGAGCAGCTCCACAAGGTGGCAGAGCTCATCCTCCACGGTCAGGAGCTGGAGAAACCAGCCAGAGACCAGGCGCACATCCTCACCAGGTGTGTGTGTTTGTGTTTGTGTGTGTGTGATGGGCTCATATATAACAGATATTAAATGTGCTAAAATCTCAATTTTTAATCCCAGGTTGACGTGTGCCATGTGTAAGGAGGTGCAGTGTTTGGCCAAGAAGTTCTCTGACACGCTGCTTTTTGTCGGGGTAGGTGAGAGGCATCGTGTTTGTGTGAACAGTGGTCATGTTAAAGGATAAGGCTGGTGTTATTTATTTTTTTTCTACTGTTAGCAAATCCCATAAAAGGTTTTAAAGCAGGAATGTATTAATCTGCTACAATACTCTACGACTTCCCCACCCAGTGTCGGAGCTCATCCCTGAGCCTGTCAGCTCACCAGGTCCCGATGAAAACACACAAAAGCATAAAAATATGATTTCTTTAAAGTCATCTTTGCATTTGTTTGGGACTATTTTCTTCTTCTGTGTATTTATACAAACATCTTCCTCTGCTGAGTTCCTCCCACGGACGGATGTATTTGTGGGATTGAATAAACGATTAATAATGGTTTTGATTTGGTTTCTTTGAAACATGGAGGATGTTTTAACCCCTTCATAGAATAATGTTCAAATCCAACACTGTCTATTTTAAAAGTGAGAGGAACACATCCCTTATTTTCACACTTCATCTGTTGACTGTTACAAGGAAGCCTAATGAGACATTCAGTCAGACAACAATACTTGTTGCATGTCCTCATTTAAGCTTCAAGTGCCTTGTTGGTGAGGAAGCAACAAGCATAGCCTTCAATAATAATAATAATAAGGGAAAATGTTCTTTAGTCAAATTTTGTAGCTCAACTATATAAATTATCAACAATGTTGGTATATAATGGAGGTCCATCATTAATATTACACTTTTTATTTAGTTTGTGTTCCTGTAAAAAGAAAACAACTGAACATGTAAACACGCCTCTTATTGAAACTGTCACATCTTTGTTTCTCTCTCAGGGTCAGAGGAAAGCAGAGGAGCTGACTCCGCTGATAGACAGTGTGCAGCTAGAGGTGAGAGGCACAGATTTCACCTTAGACCATTTTGTCTGTTATAAACATAGAGGGGCGCCGCCAGGAATTCTTGGCCCCAAGAAAAGTTATTACAATGGCCCAAACCGACCCTGCACAGTTGCTATATAACCACACCTGCATTATGGAAAATTTACATTAAAAGCTTAGCAATACAAAGGCTACCTGGATGAAACTGTTTTGCATTAAAAACAAAAAAAAGAAAAAGAAATCAGTGCAGTGTAATTAACATCTTCATATATGGTGACAGGTTAATCATTTAATATACAAAAAACCCCAAATCTTTCATCTTTTAGGCCCCCTGTCAATCATGGGCTCTCAGAATCGTCCTACATTGTCTTCCCTTATAAAGCGCCCCTGTCAACATATGTCGAATGAAGTTAGTGATGTAGGCGTCTCAGTGTAATGTGTACTGCTGCGGATTGAAACTGACCGTGTTTAGTTTGTTAAAGGCAACAATGTGAGACCTGCAAAAGCTCCGGTGAGGAGATTTTAGCTGGTTATGAAAGAGACTGAAGTTTATACTGTTGTCACTTTATCATCTACAAAAGCAAATAAGACCATTAAAGGGCCACTATGTTGATTTGGTAGTGAAATTTGAAAGTTAGAGAAGAAAAACTATTATATTCTATAATTTCTAAACTAAATACACAAACTTTATTCAAAGGGAAAAATGGGTCCCTGAACACTGTTTGGAGCTAAAAAAAAAACTACCAGGAGAGTTACGATTTCACTGTTGTGGGCCCCCCACCATAACTTCTCACATAGCATGTTATCTTCAAACAGTGTTACAGGGATCAAATTTTCCTCTGAGGACAGTTTGTGTATAGAGCTATGAACATATACCACATAATCTGTACACTTCTCCAACTTTCACATTTCTCTACCAAAACTACATAGTGCACCTTTAACATCAATATTGATCATTTCTATATGATTATTATGAATTCCTGAAATCGCTGCAGAGCATTAGGTGTTGGACGGCCAACTGTTTATTGGGATGAGAAATGATGATTGATTGATTGTATTTTATTTACCTGTCATGCACATAGGTGACCCACCCTCGTGGGTTTATAAGACACCAGATATTCAGTTGCAGTGGATCAACGAGCTGATTGGATGTTTTCTTGGTTTTCTGTCTGCAGGGCTCCAATAGCACGAACTACATCCAGAATGCATTTCAGCTGCTGCTTCCCGTCCTGCAGATCTCCCACATCCAGAGCCAACACAGTCAGCCCGACACAGAGCCCAGCACACAAACACAGCATTAACACACACACACACACACACACAGACACACACACCTGCTCACCTGCTCACCTGCTTGTCTTAATGTACTTATAATTGTACAGTAAATAAAATAGATTATAACAGATGAAGTGCTTTAAACTACATTAAGTGCCATAGCATCAGGCAGAAGAGGTTTTAAATATTACAATATCTAATTATACTCTGGTAGGTAACAGTTTAACAGACATGTACATGTAGAACTGTTACACACATTTGTGTCTCTTCCATGTTGTATCTCTGTGTTTTACTTTGATTTAGCAGTGCTAAGATATTCTTCTCTGATGAACCAAACAGAGATGATTTGAGTTTTTATCATCTCTAAAAGCTGAACCAAAAACAAAACTTACTCAAGTGCAGAATGTGTTGAAGGGATTTGACTTTAATGTATATTAAGCTTTCTTTGCACTCCTCGTGATCCGTAGTTATTCAAACGTTAGCGAGAGTTGACTAACACTAGTGAGCGGCCTGTTTCTCTAAAATGTTTAATGAAGTTTAAGAGTTCATGACTGTTTGATTTGTATGTTAAATTATGTGTGGGGACACTACCGTTTATGTCACTTAAATCCAGTTTGATTTGAAAGAAAAAGTGACGACATATTAACACACATAAGAAAATAATTAGTTCTGCCTTCTTCATTTTTTTGTACATTGCAGAGTGTATCATTTCATGTTGGTTAATTTATCTCTAATTATCTGATGTTGCTGCTACATTTAAAAAGTTGATTCTGGCTTTTTGTGAAAGTTTCCTTCATTGCTTTGGTGTTGACAGTGGGAACAGGAAAACAGCGAGCTTCTGGCACATTAAGTAATAAAAAAGAACCGCTTTAAAACCACAACAAGTCATTCAAACAGTGTGAATGTAAACCACTGGTCACGGCTGCTTTTGGGCTGCAGAATAAAGTCGTTAACACGAAAAATAAAAAATACTCGACTTTCAAGTTGATGGAGCAAATTTAGCTTTTTAATGAATTGGGACACAGTTGTTGAGTTTGAGCAGCAGTCCAAAGATTATCACAGTGAGTCTGATTTATTTAAATATATATATCTAGTGTTACATTAGCTCCTCGCTTCCAGTCACGACTCCTTTACTCCTCATCTTTACTTTTCCCTCCTCACTTTTAGAGATGAATATATGCAGGCAGGATAAATTATTAACAATAAAAAAACATGAGTTGGTCCTTTCAGACACCATCAGAGGCTGTTTGACAGAGTTACAAATGCCTTCAAAAATTTAATTAATTGTGATGTAAGATTAATGTTTGGAAGCCAAGTCATATTTTAGGATTTCCTCCTAATGAAACGGCCTTAACATGTTTGAGACAGAGATGTCAAAAATAAAGAAGAATAACTATTTCATGTGTCTCAGGTGTTTTTATTTACATAGGTGGCAGGATGTTGAAGTAGTCATATTTCTTTTCCGTCACTGCTCCTCTGTCACCAGGTCTGCTCCTCTGTCTGCTCCTCTGTCACCAGGTGTGCTCCTCTGTCAGCAGGTGTTCTCCTCTGTCTGCTCCTCTGTCACCAGGTCTGCTCCTCTGTCACCAGGTCTGCTCCTCTGTCAGCAGGTCTGCTCCTCTGTCAGCAGGTCTGCTCCTCTGTCACCAGGTGTTCTCCTCTGTCACCAGGTGTTCTCCTCTGTCATGTCACCAGGTGTGCTCCTCTGTCATGTCACCAGGTGTGCTCCTCTGTCACCAGGTCTGCTCCTCTGTCACCAGGTGTGCTCCTCTGTCATGTCACCAGGTGTGCTCCTCTGTCACCAGGTGTGCTCCTCTGTCATGTCACCAGGTGTGCTCCTCTGTCACCAGGTGTTCCCCTCTGTCACCAGGTGTTCTCCTCTGTCACCAGGTGTTCTCCTCTGTCACCAGGTGTGCTCCTCTGTCAGCAGGTCTGCTCCTCTGTCAGCAGGTCTGCTCCTCTGTCACCAGGTGTTCTCCTCTGTCACCAGGTGTTCTCCTCTGTCACCAGGTGTTCTCCTCTGTCACCAGGTGTTCTCCTCTGTCACCAGGTGTTCTCCTCTGTCACCAGGTGTTCTCCTCTGTCTGCTCCTCTGTCACCAGGTGTTCTCCTCTGTCACCAGGTGTGCTCCTCTGTCACCAAGTCTGCTCCTCTGTCACCAGGTGTTCTCCTCTGTCACCAGGTGTTCTCCTCTGTCACCAGGTGTTCTCCTCTGTCACCAGGTGTTCTCCTCTGTCACCAGGTGTTCTCCTCTGTCTGCTCCTCTGTCACCAGGTGTTCTCCTCTGTCACCAGGTGTGCTCCTCTGTCACCAAGTCTGCTCCTCTGTCACCAGGTGTTCTCCTCTGTCACCAGGTGTTCTCCTCTGTTACCAGGTGTTCTCCTCTGTCACCAGGTCTGCTCCTCTGTCTGCTCCTCTGTCACCAGGTGTTCTCCTCTGTCACCAAGTCTGCTCCTCTGTCACCAGGTGTTCTCCTCTGTCACCAGGTGTGCTCCTCTGTCACCAGGTCTGCTCCTCTGTCACCAGGTCTGCTCCTCTGTCTCCTCCTCTGTCACCAGGTGTGCTCCTCTGTCACCAGGTGTTCTCCTCTGTCACCAGGTGTTCTCCTCTGTCACCAGGTGTTCTCCTCTGTCACCAGGTGTTCTCCTCTGTCACCAGGTGTGCTCCTCTGTCACCAGGTGTGCTCCTCTGTAAGGGAGGAAGTGGATGGATGGCCTCGATGATGCAGATTTTCTGTAAAGAAACAAGATTTAAAATATATATATATGTGTAGACTGAAGTTGGATGACGGTGAAGAGTCGTGGTGAAGTGAAGTGAAGGAAAGTACTTTAATTTGCTGAACCGTTCTTTGGTAACAATACTAATTTCCAATTCAAGCTAGTTCACATCTGAACTTCACTGTTTAAGAATAGTTTTTAGAGACTACTGTTTTTTTTCAGGTTCAGATTTTAACATAAAATGATTTAATGTAGCCTAATGAGTTAGTTTTCTCAGGTGAAAAGTCTACCTTCACCAGCTTAAATATTGAATTTTCGAAAACTAGCATGATTTGATGACTAGCAAGTGGCATTCCCTACACAGCAAAACCGTTAGATTGTAACTTTTATCAATAGCAGAGAACTTCCTGTTTGTCTTAAGTTACCTGTATAGATGTTGTCGACATTTCCATCCAGCAGAGTTTCTATGTCGTCTGAAAAATGATTTATTTAGATGACTATTAAAACAGAGAGTCACAGGAACATAATGATCAAAATGACCTCTGTATTAGTTCAAGTGTTTGTAAGTCCTTACCTTGAATGTCGACCTCTTGGATGGGTGAAAGTCCTGTCAATAGAAAAGTTGCCAAAGCACTTAAACCACAGCTTTACAAAAAAAAGAAATATTTTCATCCAAACGGCGTGTGTGTGTATTTACAAACTGACCTGACCAAGAGTGGGACCCGTATGGCTGCAGGATCATTCCTTTCAGACGAGAGAAGGTCATCAGATTTTAAAGTGACTGAACATGAAATCATGCTTCAATAATCTTAAATGGTCTTAATGTGAAGTGATCGTTTAGAAAACATCAGTCACCTTTGTAAGTCATGTCTTCTGTTTGTGTCTCTCCATCTGGTTGAAGAATCATTAGAAACAAACATTATGTATATATATAAGGCGTATAATGGCATACCGTAAAACTTTAATGGACAGCCCGGGCTGAGTCTATAAAAGAACCCTGACTTTATTGGGACAGGCATCAATACTAGACTGGCCCTTAATTATTTTCAAACAAAAGTTGTGCACAGAAAAAGATGGCAGAGACTTTAACATTGTAAATGTACACTAGAAAGAATATTTAAATGTGTACAATTTTTTTAAATTGAAAAATCATTGATTGGGTCTTATTTTGTCAGACATTCTGTCCGGGGGAGAGAGGGAGACCCCCTGCCTTGTAGTTACATTTTGAACCGCAAACTAATCAACACTAAATTCAAAGGGGCCTCTAATTGAGACCTGCCTTTATTTATTATCCAAACATGCGGCTACACCAGGCTAGTAAAAAGGACTGGGCCTTTGAGTAGGATGGGCTTTTGTTTGAAGTTTCACGATATTTCATAAAGAGGTACACAGTACACAGGTCTTATCTAAAATATCTTATTACTCTTAATTTGCAGAAAACTATTTATAATCCCGTGAGTGGAAAAACAGACCTTCCTTAAATGAAAGATAAGGTCAGAAAGAAAATCATAAACACGTTCAGTCCAGTTTCTTTGTCATAATCATCTTTTCAGGAAAGTTAAGAGTACATTTATTCAGTATTGAAATGATGAAAAGTAGGCTGACTTTAAGATTAACACCATATCCTCTGACTCTGGTATAGTGTCTTGATTGAATATAAAAACCCTGAGCTTACAGGTTTAAGATTTTGTATGTGAGTTTTTAAGGTAAATACATGGATTAGAATAAAATAGTAAAGCATGCTTTATTGTCATGTCACAGACGTGCATGGAAATGTCAGTGCATTATCTCTCCGTGGTAATAAAGTTAAAAACAAACAAGAACAACAGATAAGTCTAAAAACAACCCACATTCATGCAGAACAACAGTCATAATAAATAGTAGGTTAAATGCACTTCAGTGGTGCTTTATACTGAAAGAGACCAAAGGAAAAATGTGAGGTAGAGCGTTAGGTTTTGTTTGGAAATGAAATTTGAGAACACAAATGTAAATTTACCGTTTAACTGTTGGCTGGTGAGGTGGAAACCAACAGGCTGCCTCTTCGGCTTTCCTGATTAAAAAAAATAAAAAAATGTTTAGTTATTCTTCAAAATAGCCAACCATCTGAATCACATGAGTTTGTATGGATGAGTATTTTTGTGTCATACTGCAAAAGCATCTCCTCCAGTAGAATTCTCCGAGCACAGTAAAGAGCACAGCGAGCAGGAAGACGCCCAGCAGAGCCAGCCAGAGCACCCTGAACATACACCGCCACTCATCTGGAGGAGAGAGAGAGAGAGAGAGAGAGGGAAAACAGAGACACGTTTTAGACCAGAAAAAAATCCAGGTTTGAAAATCTTTTCATTTCTCCACCCAGTTTGTCAATTATTAAGATTACTCTGAAGTTTACAATGTCAGAGGACAAACTTAACAATTTTCCTGAGATACAATTGAGCTTAAACATTCTAGGAAATAAAACAAATAGGAGCAATAAAAGAGCAGCAAGTATGTTTCAGTTTGGTGGAAAAGGGCTTTCCTTTTAACAGCCTTTCCAACTGGAAAATGTGACTTTGTCGTTGCTTGTAAAATTGTGGGAGTGTTGGAGTGTCAGACAGAAAGTGTGCGAGCCAAAATCAATGCAGCCTTTACGATTCACTAGATAAAGATGAACCCTCTCATCACACAGTACAGAGAGAGGAAGTCAAGGCCAGAGACGAGAGAAGGAGATCCGAGGTAAATTTGTTCTATTGAAAAGAATGAGTCCACTTGGAACTGAGACACCAAATGGAAAATGATTGGATCATTTCTTTGTCTTTTCTCTTTCCTCCTCTCTCTATATGCCAGTCTGAAGCTGTTTTCACAAATGCACTCCCAAAAAAAATTCCACTAAATTTCAGGCAGGCTGTTTATTTGTGTATTTGATGTGAAGTTGTATGTTTTTTAAAGGAGCAATATGTAACTCTGACACCTGGTGTTTAAAATGGGTACTGCAGTCCAAACATTAGAGAGAGCTGTCTCCCCCCGCCCCCTCCTCTTTAGAGTTGGTGTGCACACAGGTTACCATGTTCGCAGACACTGAAGCTTCAGTGTTTAGCCAGCTCTGCATCGGTCTGTAAATCTTTCTGCGTTCTGACCTCTCTCCATTTTTCAAAAGCATCTCCAATATTGATCCTAGTTTTACCCATCGACTGCAAAAATTAATCGTTAATTACAAAATCCGCCATCTATTACGGCAGGGGACAGCAGATGCCGCCATGCTGGAAATGTTGTTCTCGCAGTGGCTCACAACAACTTCACAGGGAAAATTTAACAGGGGGCTGGATGTAAAAATGTGAGTGATGTTATGTCTTAAGATCAGTTAAAGTCAGAGTGAAAACTTAAGCTGTTAACTTTCACACATGCTGCTGACTTCTGTACGTGTGAGAGTACAGCCACAATGACCACACAGAAAACAGAAAACAGAAAAAAGAATTTCTTTTTCACACCAACCTTTCTCTGTCCGTTTTCCTGGCAGCTCTTCTTTTGCTGTTGCATTCAAAACGGTTTGATTGGAGAGCCAGAGGAGACAGCGGCTTTGATTAGCGGACCTTGACTTTGGCACAACAGGGAGACAGCAGTAAAATGCCTTCAGCTGTCCTTCATCATGATCCTTCTCCTCTTCCTCCTCCTCGGCTCCCTCAATTGGGTGGAGGTGTAAGGAGCT